GCGTCGACCCCGCGATTGACACCTCCCTCCCCAGGGATCTGGAGGTGCGTGTGAAAGGCCCCGGCCATGCTCCTGCCGCGGTGATCGGGGGCGACGCCAGGGTGTTCCGCTTCGTGCAGGTCTTCTCGGGGAGCGAGGAGCTGTTCAACGAGTCGGCAGTGGCCGTGGAGTTCATGACGTGCGCTACCAACGCCTACAACACTGGGGACTGTGCGGCTGCCGGGATGTATCGGAGACGCCTGCGGCGAATCACCGCGGCCCCTGCCTTTACGAAGCGCCCACGCGGCCAAACGTTACGCTGAAGTCTGGCCAAGCAATTAAAATTAGTGTGTTCCCTCAGCCGTTGTGGAACAACTTGGGGGGAAACATTTGGGAGGAGGAAGGAGGAGGAGAGGGAGGTGAAGTAGGACGAGGAGGGTGAAAAGGAGGAGGAGGAGGACGAGGAGGCCTCTTGAGGCCATCCTGGGGCCTCCCTGGGGGCTTCCTGGAAACCTCTGGGGGGCCCCTTGGGGACCTCTCGGGGACCACGTGCGCTCCCCAGAGGGGCCTCCTGCGGGCCTCCCGGGGCCTCCTGGTGGCCTCTTCCGTAGCCGTGCTGTCTCCAAGAGGTCCACACGGGGGGGGCCCTTCGGAGTTGAAAGGGGCCTTATGCCTTGGCATCGTTCGGACGTGTGCATTTTTTCTCGGCGAGAACCATCGAGGGCCATCCTGGACCATGGGGCAAAAAAAACACGCACGACACCGACAAGTGCACGGGAAATGGTCGTCCGAGCGACGGCAAGATGCTGGGAGGCTGCAGGGCAGGCCTTTCTGCAGCAGCACCCCGCCGCCACCTGGGCTCGGATATGCCGGAGGCACGCGCGCCCTGCACGCCTGGGCACTGTGTGCTCGCCAGTGTGCGGGAGAGCGTTCCCGCCCTGCATCGCGTGTCCCCCACGCCTGCTGTGCGCCCCATTCCTGTCGCAGGATCTGTCTACGACGAGAAGCATGCTTCTTCAATTGGACGAGAGGGAGGGAAGAGGATGGGGACCGACAGAGGGTGGCGGATCTACTGGCCGTCGGCCCATCCCACCACCGCGCCTGGGTTGTAGGTCAGAGGCCTCGCGGGGCCCTCTGGGCCGATGTTTGAGCGCCCGTGGTTCCGAGGAAAAGCATGCGGGAAGCGCCGCGGCACCGCGGGAGGCACGCCGAGAGCATTTGAACATTTGACAAGTTGGGGGTCGGGGCCCCGTGATACAGTGGGGACCCGTGCCAAGAAACACCCTGCTTGCCTCCAGGGTTGAGTGGGTTTCGATGGCTCTGCTATGGAAAGCGCGACGCTCCCACACCGAAAATCAATGGACGTCCTGGGGTCTCGGGGCTGGGTTTCTTGTGGATTGGCCTCGACTGTATTGTTCAATCCCTGGGGCCTGGGAGCCGAGGACTGCAAAGGGCCTGCAGACTACAGCGGACCTGGATGGGCGCAATCGGCTCGTCCGCGGCCCGCTGCGGCTCGCCCGCGCGGTGCCCCCCCCCCCCCCCCAACACAGCAGCCCTGCGACAAGCAAGTCGTTCCCCGCCGTCGTTTCTCCGAGAACCCTCGGCGTGGAGCACGACGATGACGACGACGACGATGACGATGACGATGACGATGACGTCATCGGCATCGGCATCGTCGTCGTCATCGTCATTCCCGCGCCCACGCAGTCAGGGTCTTGCCGGAGTCAGAGGGGGGGGGCCGCGGGCACTCCAGCACGCGCCGCTCGCGGCAGCGTGGCGGACATACAGCCCGGGGGCGCGTGGGCCGCGCAGATCCACGTCGCGGTGGAGGCCCCCGAGGAGCAGAGGCTCTTCGACGGCCTTGGGCGCTGCGTAGCGGGGGGCGATAAGGAGTGGGGGGGGGAGGGGGGGGAGAAGAACGTGGGGAGGCGGAGAAACGTGCACCTTCCGTGCCCCTTGGGGGCTCCCCGTTTGGGGCCTGCAGGGCCCCTGAGGTGCACAGGTGGTGCACCTTTCTCCGGGCGGCGAAATCTGCACGTAGCCACTGCTTCCTGTCCAAGCCCATCCTGAACCCAGGAGTTATGTATACGCCCTTCTGGCCAAGCCACGGGAGCGTGGCGTATACACCGCTGCTGGGTTCAGGATGGGCCTGGCCAGGGAACAGTGGATATGTGTAGATCTGGTCGCCATACTTCTTCACCCGATTCCCGCTCATCGCGGGCGAAACCACATCCGTATCCGCGCCTCCGGGGCCGGGCCCCCCTGGGCCGCGCCCCCGCAGATGCGGGGCGATTTCTCACGGAAGCCTTGCGCGGAACGCTCTCGTCGGACCGCACATCCGTGAGATCGCGCTCTGGAGTCCAAGAACCGCCGGGGGCGCCGATGAGCATGCGTTGGCCGCTCGTGAACCTCAGCTGCCCTGCGGCGCCCGTGCTGAAACGCAACACGTGCCGTGTTCGAAACGTCCCTGCTAGCGCGCTGCACGTTGGCTCGGCACGCGTGTTGGCCCACGGTTTGGCGATCGTATCGCGCCAGGCCTGCGGTTTCAATCCACGCGTTGAGCTCCGTGTCAACGAGTTGGGTGAGCCTTCATAGGGGGCCTCTGTGAACCTCCGCGGCCCTGCAGGTCCGATTCCGACCCGACTTCCTTCAGGCTTCGGCCACGCGTCTGCGGCCTTTTCTCCAGGGTTCCTCCAGACTTCGTCCAGATGTCCACCAGATCTGGACGAGCTCCCCCCAAACTGCAAGGACTCTTGGGACCCTGGGAGACTCCTATGGAGAGCCACACGTTGCGGGTCGCGTGTTGCGCATCGGGGCGGCTACAGTCGCCCAAGGGTGCCCTTGCATCCTTGCCGCTGCGGTCCATCCTCCGCCACTTTCGGTGGCCGCGCCCCTGTCGACAAGCTTCTAGGTGGGCCTCCGAGGCCCCTGCATCTTTTTGTCGCGCATCCTTGCGATGCGGGCCGACTGTAAGTAGTGAACCGATCGCCCCCCCTCTACGCTCGGACGTAACTCCTGGGAGGTCAAATTATGATTTTGCCCTAGTTAGCAGTCCAGCTTAATCTGGCTTAATCCGGCTTAATCCCGCTTATTCCGGCTTCATCCCGCGCAATCCCGGTTAATCCGGCTTAATCCCACTTAATCCAAGGCCCTTTCTGGCGTAACAGCCCCTCAATGGGGCGTAATCTCCTTAATCCTTCCGACGAAGATTTCCCAATAGTTGCCTCCTAATCTACGCAGCGCCCGAACGGCGTGGACGCGAGCAGCCGCGCCCGCGCGGCCGCCGCCGCGCTCGCTGGGCCGCTGGCGTGCGCCCTCGCGTGCGCCGCAGTGGCTCTCCGCCGCTCCCGCGCGCGCGTCGCGCCACGGGATGCCACGGCGGCGCTGCTCGGCGCCTCCGAGCCGGCGGCGCTCGCGCCAGCGGCGCGCGCGCCGAGCGCCTGTTGAGCGCTGCTGCTGCCGCAGCCGCTACTGCTGAGGAGAGGGAGGAGGAGGAGGAGGAGGAGGAGGAGGAGGAGGAGGAGGAGGAGGAGGAGGAGGAGGAGCGGGAGGAGGAGGAGGAGGAGGAGGAGGAGGAGGAGCGAGGAGGGAGGAGGAGGAGGAGGAGGGAGGAAGGAGGGAGGAGGAGGAGGGAGGAGGGAGGAGGGAGGAGGGAGGAGGGAGGAGGGAGGAGGGAGGAGGGAGGAGGAGGAGGAACCCGAAACCCTAAACCCTAAAATCTCTAATCCTTGATTATTAAACCCTACACATATTGATCCCGTGAGTTCCGATTCGATCCAACTTCCTGAGGTCCTCCATCCCTATGAAAAAATATTTCCTGTACAACCACCCATGCAAACCCTCACGATCCCTGGCAAAACTTATTATATCCTGATCATTACTTGTTTTAACCTAACGAATCCCTTTCACAAAAATAGTACTTCCTGATCACGCGCATACAACCAACCCATGCAAGCCCTCACCATCTGCGAGCGGGCACGCACGGAAGCGCCCTCGGGCCATACGACTACATGCAATCAATCCATGCAATGTACTCCCAAGTTCCCATCGCTCCCAGGCGCTCCCACGCGCTCCCAGGCTCCCAGGCGCTCTCTCAGGCGCTCCCAAGTGCTCCCAGACGCTTTCAGACGCTCCCAGGTGCTCCCAAGCATGTGCTCCAAGGCGCTCCCAAGCGCTCCCTGGCGCCCCCAGGCGTTCCCCAGCGCTCCCAGGTGCTCCCAGGCGGTTCCAGGCGCTCCTAGTGCTCCAAAGCGCCTAATGCTCTCCTGGCGCTCCTGGTGTTCGCTGTAGTTCTAAATGGGGGGGATCTTTATGGTTGGGTGGTTTGCGGGTGGGAATGACGGCCACCGCAGGTGGGCTCCTAGGCAGGGGGGGGATCGCGGCCAAGATAGGATGCGGCCAAGCCTGTTGAACCCTAAACTCGCCCAGGGCCGCTTGGCCCGTATCCACCCACCCATTTAGGCGGCAAGCGCCCTAACTGGCACCTCGCAGTCAGACTACCTCACGGCCGTACGTGAATAACAGGCCAGCCCAGTTGAGTCTCGGTTGCCGTCAGGCATGGCCCGCGAGGGCCTTATCTCATTATCAATGATGCGGCTTACGCGCAAGCGATTATCCTGTGCCCGCCTGGGCGATCGTCAAAGAGACTTATAACCCCAAAACATCAACCGAATTCACCGTGGCGGGCGCCCTGGCCCACCCTGGAGCCTCAACATAAAATTGCTAAAAGACACGGATCGCCACTGGCAATTTTTTTTCGACCTCGAATCCTAGAGTTTTCCAGAGTGGACCCCGCCGATCGGATGGCTTGTCAAAGACGTTTCCTGGCGACTCGCCCCCCCCCCCGGGCTACTCAGGGCACCCCAGGCGCCCGCCACGGTGAATTGGCAGCCGCCCAGGGCCCAGGGCGATCCTGGGCGCGCCAGGGACGTTCTGTGGCGAATCGGAGCCCCAGGGCCTTCCCAGAGCACCCCAGGCGCCCGCCACGGTGAATTAGCAGCCGCCCAGGGCCCAGGGCGATC